GAGCAGAGCAGAGCAGAGCAGAGCAGAGCAGAGCAGAGCAGAGCAGAGCAGAGCAAAGCAGAGCAAAGCACAGAAACCAAAACGAATGACTGTAGTTGTGAGAGCATCAGAGGACTGAAATTGAGGGACAGTTTACAAACAGCTGTACCATTCTTCTTCTAAAGCATCAAGGTTAGGGAAGATAAGAAAACGGACGACTCTCCCAGGATTAGTACAGTCTGAATGGCGTACTATCCACGATAGTTTCCTGGCTGTGATCACTGTACTTCGGTCGTATGAGGTGTTATTATCTGGGGATGAAGATTATACATGTATCAGTTACAATATTTGGGCAACTTTTCAGAAGTGTGAAATGAGCTGGGTTTGGTGACGAATGCCTTTAATCTTAGAGTATTGGGAGGCAGATGCAGACCAATCTCTGTGAGTTCGAGGTCAGTCTGGTCAACATGGCAAGTTGCAGGACAGGCAGGACTATAGAGAGAACCTGTTTCAAAAAGAAAACAAAAAAGAAGTTTGAAATAGTTCCAAGATAAAAAGTTAAAAAACATCAATATAAAAATCTTGGGAGGGAGAAGTGGTACTGAGGGTGTGTAGGATGGAGTGGGTGAGGGTATGTGTGAGGGAGTAGGGGAGGGTGTGTGTGGGGGAGTGGGGGAGGGTGTGTGTGAGGGAGTGGGTGAGGGTATGTGTGAGGGAGTGGGGGAGGGTATGTGTGAGGGAGTGGGAGAGGGTGTGTGGGAGGGAGCAGGGGAGTGGATTTTGCCAAAACACAAAATAGGCATATACGGATGAAATTCTCAAACAATAATTAAAAATTATATCAGTGTGTGTGTGTGTGTGTGTGTGTGTGTGTGGTGTGTTTGTGGGTGCACGCATCCTGCTTGTTGTACTTGTGTGGAGGTCAGAAGTCAAAATGTATCTAAATGCCTAGATGTATCTCAAGTGATACCATTTAAAGAGAGCAAGGTTTATCTACTATCCTCATTTTGAGTGTCTTTAATATTTGGTAGGAAGACTATTAGATTTATGAGATTTCTTAAATGTATACCTCTGAGCACTTATTGTAAAATAACTCAACAATTGTGTTGGGGGTATGGGGGAGATGATTCCTTATCTTTCCTTTTTTCTCTTATATTTGCTCTACCTGCAGTCTCCCTTCCCCCTCATTTCTATTTATGGTAATGTCACTCTTCTTTCTGGATGGCTTTGAACTCACTGTGTAGACCAGGCTTACCTTGAACTCACAATCCACCTGCCTATGCCTATGGATTGCTGGAATTAAGGATGTATGCTGGGCTCAGACTTTCCTTAAAGTCCCTTTTCTCTTAGCCTAATCTGACTACTTCTTTTGAAAGTCTCAAGCTCTCGGCTAATGAAATGGCTTAGTTAGTAAAAGTTCTGGCAGCATATGTCTGGAAATTCAAATTCTGTTCCCAGAACTCTTGTAAAGGTGGAAGCAGAGAATTGACTCCACAAAATTGCTTTACATGAAACCCCTCTCCCTCTCCCTCTCCCTCTCCCTCTCCCTCTCCCTCTCCCTCTCCCTCTCCCTCTCCCTCTCCCTCTCCCTCTCCCTCTCCCTCTTCCTTTCCCCCTCCCCCTCCCCCATCCCCTCCCTCCCCTCCCCCTCCCTCTCCTCCCTCTCCCCCTCCTCCTCCCTCTCCTCCTCCCCCTCCCCCTCTCCCCCTCCTCCTC